TATTTTTAGTTGGAGATGAGTTTTTATTCACTGTTCTGTTGCTTACCCCCAAAATGACTATCAAAATGATTATTCACCCTCATGAGTCTGTGTGTCACCAGCACAGGGAGGGTTGCCTGTGCTGTTTTTAAACACAGAGCCCCTGGGAGCAGAGGACACATTCTAGTTCCAAGCTGCTGAAGACAGGCTCCACCCAGCCGCCTTGCAGCAGCAGCCTACTCCTGGCTCTACAAAGGCCTGTCCCAAGGGGAGTTGTGGGTTGAGGAGAGTTTCAGACAGTAAGGAGGAAGATCAGTCCAGGTCTGAACTTGAACAAAGATTAATGCTGACAGCACAGTTATGAGACTGTCAGAATTGAGAAAGACAGCTAAGACACTTCAGGCCAGATCCAAACTCTGCAGGACAAAGGACATGCAAGGTGGGATGAACTTTACAAAATCACAGAGGGCAGAATTGGTCTTTGAGGAGTTGCTAGTCTTTTGTTTAAGAGTTTGGTAAATATCTTGGTAGAGAAGTGGATGAAACCCAGGGTTCTCACAGCAGGAGCAGGTCATCTCTTCCCCCCAAACTGGCCCTGATCAGGAATATCTGACTGCTTAGTCACCTCACCTACTAGCCTGCCAGCTTGCCAACCTGCCAGTCCATCCTTCCTACTCACTCTCAAGGTTCTCGTAATAATTCAACTGTAAACCTAAAAATTTACAGCCAATTTTGAAAGAGATGCATCCTACCTCAGGAAACCGTATGTCAATTGTGTTGTAATGATATGCTTCTTCTAAGTATGTTGTTATTAAATAAATCATTTTTAAAAATTAAAAAAAAAATTGAAATAAATTTAAAAAAACAAAGAGTACAGTTTACCTTGTGATTCCAGAAAGTACTCTGTGTTGAACGAATTCCAATGTTTTTTGTTTTTAAGGCAAGGGGAATCAAAATCCTGGCTGATCACATGAAGGTGTACCTGGCTAGTTGAAAGTTAAAAAAAAAAAAAAATAAGCGAAATGGCAACAATCAAAGTACAGGTACAAAGTACTGATACCATGTTCATTCAATGCAATTATCCCATTTATTTACTTGATGATATTTCACATGGGGCTGGAAAGATGGCTCATCAGTTAAGAGCACTGGCTACTCTTCCAGAGGACCTGGGTTAGGTTCTCAGCACCAGTGTAGCAATGCACAACTGTCTATAGCTCCAGTTCAAGGGGATCCCACGCCCTCTTCTGGCCTCCATGGGCACTGTACCCAAGGGTGTACTTCCATACAAGCAGGCAAAACACTCATACACATGAAATAAAAATAAATTTAAATTTTTTTTTGAATACTAATGTGGGCTGGGGAGATGGCTTAGAGGGCTAAGTGCTTGCCATGCAAGCATTAAGACCTGAATTGATCTTTAACACCCAGGTAAAAAGGCAAGACACACCAGCACACACTTGGAATCTCAGAGCTGAGGAGACAGACTATAGAATCCCTGAGTATTGCTGACTAGGTAGTCTAGCCAAAGTAGCAAACTCCAGATTCAGTAAGAGCCCCTGTCTCAAAAAATAAGGTGAAGGACTAAAGCGATGGCTCGGCAATTAAGGGCACTGGCTGCTCTTCCAGAGGACCTGGGTTTGGTTCTCAACACCCACAAAGCAGCTAACAATCATCAGTTACTCCAGTTTCAGGGGATCTCATACCCTCTTCTGGACTCCACAGGCACTGCATGCACATAGCGTACTTACATAAATGAAGGCAAAACACTCATATACATAAAAATAAGTAAATTTTAAAATAAAAAAATAATAATAATAAGGTGAAGCCAGGCACAGTGGTGCCTTTAATTCCAGCACTCAGGAGGCAGAGGCAGGTGCATCTCTGTGAGATCAAGGTCAGCCTGGTCTACATAACAAGCTCCAGGCCAGCTGGAACTACAGTGGAGACTATGTGTTAAAGTTTAAAAAAAAAAAAAAAAAAGAACTAGTTGGGAAGAGGAAGGGAATCAATGGGAGTGGAAAGGGGCTAAGGGAGAGTAATGGGGGATGAATATCACCAAATATGCTACACACGTATGGAAATGGCATATTAAACCCATATGTATAATTAATATACACTAATTAAAAAATAAGACAAAAATTACAAGGGAGGGAGGGAGAGGGGGAGGGTAAGGGGATAGTGCCTAGCAGAGCTAGTGAAGTATGCCCAGAGGCCTGTGCCAGGCAGCGACTTGACATGAGAAAGCAGGCAGAGCAAGCAAGATCTGAGACAGCTGAGTCTCAGAAGTGGGGAAGACACATGCAAAGACCCAGGGACAAGAACGAGCTGGGTGCAAAAAAGCAGAAGGTGACATGGCCAGAATATACAGCCAGAGATACTGGAGCCAAAAAGCAAGGATTAGGCAGGAGCCAGATCATAGGGAGTTGTAAAGATTTGTAAACCTCACGTTTTATTTTGACATTATAGAGTCACTGAACGATGTTCAGTAGAGGAGAGTTGTTATCTGATTTTTACCTTTAAAAGATCACTCTAGCTGTTGCATGGAGAAAGGGCTGTGGGACATGAAAGGTAGGCATGCGAAGGCCAGTTACAAGGCTACTGTAACAAAGCCAGAAACAAGCGCAGCTGACATGAGAGCCTGGCTGCAGCAAAGACAGCAGGAAGCAAGCCTGCTGATCATATCTTCAACAGAACCAGCAAGACTTACTACTAATTTACTGGATGTTGATTTGAGGCAGAGCCACTTACTGAGATGGAAAAGTTTAAAAGAAAAGGAATTGGGTGAATAAAATCAGTTTTTTGGGAGGCTGAGGAGATAGCTCAGTTGGTAAAGTACTTACCTTGCAAGCATGAGAACTGAGGGTTCAATCCCCAGAACCCACACAAATTTAAAAAGCCAGGCATGGTGGCATGTGTTTGAAATCTCAGTGCAAGGAGATGGAGAAAGGTAGATCCCTGGGGCTCACTGGCCAGTCAGCCTAGCCTAATCAGTGATCCCCAAGACAGTGAGAGACCCTGTCTCAAAAAAGGTGGATGATATCCGAGGAGGAAAGATACTAAGATACCTGAGGTTGACCTCTGAGCTCCATACACATACACACACACACACACACACACACACACACTTGTAGCTTTCCTTCAGACTTGTTAAACCAAGTAAAATGATTTTTTTGTATAACTTTTATGCTTAGAATTAGTAATATTTCACCTTGCCCATTAATAATCAAAAGCCACCAGTATGTGTATAGAATCCAAAATAGAATGTAAGGCTGGGTGCAATGGCACACACCTTTAATCCTAGCACTTGGGAAGCAGAGGCAGTGTATCTCTGTGAGACAGAGGGCATCCTGGTCTACATAGTGAGTTCTAGGCCAGCAGGGGCTACAGAGAGACTCTGTCTCAACCCCTCCCCACCAAAAAAAAACAAAAAAAAAAATATATAAGCAATAAAAAATAAATAAGGGAACCACATTAAAGAAGGTAAGAGAGAAAATAACTTTGGAAAACAATATTCTGCCTAGGCACATGCAGTATTGTTGGTAAATGTCTCCCACAGGAGATGAGTTAGTAGTTAGTAGTTCTGTAACTATTTTACATGTATACAAAGAAAAGTACATGAACTCATAATAACTAAGAACAGCCAGGTTTTTCACTGGAGGGGAAAGAAGTCAGTCTCTCTCTCTCTCTCTCTCTCTCTCTCTCTCTCTCTCTCTCTCACACACACACACACACACACACACACAGAAATGGGAAAACAAGAACAAATCTTGCTTGCAAAGCTGTGCTAAAATGAAAAATATCAGTGTGATTTGGAAACTAAGCAGCACTGAGTCTGGTAAGTACCCAGATAAGAGAAGTGTCAGTGTGAATTCATGGTTTTCCATAAACATATATTAATACAAGTAATTCAATACAGAAACAGGTAGGTATGTGTGTAGGTTAGAGGTTGTACATGGATTTCTTGGCTCTGTCTGCTAAGAGGACATAGAAACAAAGACACTCTGAATTCAACAACTTCTATCATCATTAAAACCTGGTGCCCAGGTTGGAGAGTTGGTTCAGCAGTTAAGAGCACTGGCTGCTGCTGCAGAGGACCTGGGTTTGGTTCCCAGAACCCACGTGGCAGCTAACAACCATCTGTAACTCCAGTTCCAGGGTAATCCAATGCCCTCTTCTGACTCCCAGGGCATTGCAGGACACAGGTGCACTTACACACATGCAGGCAATAGACTCACGTAGTGAAACTGAAGTTACAGATGGAAATGTATATTTATTTACAAGTGGGCAGCTAGGCAGTAAACACCTATAATCCCTGCCCCAGAAGGCTAGGATGAGAGGATCACTTGACCCCAAGAGTTCAAAATCAGCATGAGCAACATAGCAAAAGCCTGCCCCCCAAAAACAAAATAAAGATGTTTAAAAAGTAAATTTGCCAGGCAGGGTGGTGCACACCTTTAATCCCAGCACATAGGAGGCAGAGGCAGGTGGATTTCTGAGTAGAAGACCAGCCTATTCTACACAGCCAGCTCCAGGCCAGCTGGAGCTACATAATGAGATGCTGTCTCAAAAAATAAACAAATAAATATCAATTCAACACTGTGAACCTAAAAATTTACAGCCAATTTTTAAAGAAATGCATCTTTGCTCTAGAAACTGTTATTGACTATGTCAATGCTGTTGTAATGAAATGCTTCTACTAATTAGGTGGTTATTAAATAAATTAAATAAATAAACAAACAAAAACAAATGAATTTTGGGGCTGGAGAGATGGCTCAGAGGTTAAGAGCACTGACTGCTCTTGCAGAGGACCCAGGTTCAATTCCCAGCACCCACATGGCGGCTATGAATGGTCCTTAACTTCAGTTCCAGGGGAATCCAAAGCCCTCTTCTGACCTCCGAGGCATTGCACGACATGGGTGCGCTCACAAACACGCAGGCAATACATTCATACACATAAAATAATATTTTTTAAAATGAATTTTATGTTGTTTATCCTGCTGCAGTTTTTTAAAAAGTGGGAACTGGGGATGTAGCTCAGTGGTCCAGTCCAGGCATTCCATTATTATTTAAACCAAATGAACTGAAGGGACATGTCCTGCATGTATTCTGTAGGGAAACAATCATTTACCCCAATTCCTTCTGTTAAAAAAAAAAAGAAAGAAAAGAAAGAAAGAAAGAAAGAAAGAAAGAAAGAAAGAAAGAAAGAAAGAAAGAAAGAAAGAAAGAAAAACAATGAAAATCAAATGCCACAATTTTCCCTCATTTTATTTGAAATCTCACATCCACTAAGCTGGTATTTATGGTCTATGATGTTTTGCTTCCTTTAGAGCAATGGTCCTTAATTATTTAAAGGTTATAGATAACTTCAAGAAATTTAATAAAAGCCACTGACAGTAATTTCTTATCTAAAGGTGATGAAGCTACTTCATCTAGTTTGTATGTTAAAAGATTTAAATTTTGAAAAGAACAAAAAAAATTACAAGGGACTGAATTACAGGCAGAAGCAGGAACTAGGGCTCACAGATAAGTTAGGCAGGGTGCAAGCTGCAGCCCAACTGTCCTGGAAACATGTGCCTACTCCCTGGGCCTGGAGACGACCCACACACTCAAGTCCAAGCTAGTCATCAGAACAGAATCAGAAGGCCCACGTTACCCCCAGGCTTACCTCATGCTAGGAATGGCATGGTATCCCAATCGGAAGCTCAGTTTGCTGGATCCAGCAAAATCTGAAATCATCTTTTCCCCCACAGTGTGCATATGCTTGAGAAGTTCAAGGTGTTCACTGGTCACAGCCTTCAGACTGGAAATGGAGGCCCATGGCAAGACCAGCCAGTGATGACGAGCCTTGGGGTATTTATCTTTAATCACAACCACCTGATCATCTTTATAAACCTAGCAGAGAGCATAAGAAGGATAGAAACATCTACTGAGAATGTTCTGTGTGCCAAGTGCTGTGATAGTCATTAAGTCGCTTACAACAGCAACTTTGGGGGAAAAAAAAAAAATAGAGTTTTTTTGAAACCGGGTCTCCTATAGCCCCAACTGGCCTGGAATTCACTATGTAGACCAGGATGGATAGGATAACATTCAGAAAGGACTCAAGAAAGGGTGGTATCGGGTGATGAGGAAGGACGGAACACAGGCAAAAGACACAGACCAGCTACAACTTTACTGCCAGTGAGAAAGCCACTTGTTCTCCCGGAAGAGCACAATAAACCAAATCTCACTAGGAAGGACTGACATCCTTTGATTTCATTTTTAAGTATAGCCTCTGCAGAGTGGTCATGTACAGGAAATGTACTTAAACTGTAAAACTGAATTCCAACCTGCACGTTGGGGTCCTTCATAGAAATCTTCAGGCCTTGACTCCAGTGGCCCAGTGATTCCTAAATTTAAAGAGACAATGTAAATTGCAAATGCCAATAATTAAATTTAGCTACTATTGTGTGACAGCAGAGTTCAATAAAATTTGGAAGGTTAGTGTCCTAGTTTGTTTCTTCATTACTGTGACAAAATACTCTGACCACTACCAACTTGGGGAGGAAAGGGTTTATTTAGCTTACATCTCCTGGGTCACAGTTCACCAGGGAGTCCAAGATAGGACTCAGGGCAGGAACCTGGAGGCAGGAGCTAGAGCACAGCCATGAAGGAATGCTACTTACTGGCTTGCTCCTCTGGCTCCTGCTCAGTCTGCTTTCTTATGCAAGATAGGCAGGCCTACCTGCCCAGGGGTGGCACCACCCACAGTGGGCTGGGCCCTCCCATATCACTCAACAATCAAGAAGGTGCCCCATGGACATGGCCACAGGCCAGTCCAATAACGGCAATTTCCCCAATTGAGGCTCCCTCAACACAGGTGTGTCAAGTTGGCACTAAAGCTGTTCAGCACAGTTAGCTTCTGAGAATTAAAAGTAGACTACTTCAGTCTACTGCCCTTTAGGACCATAAGCCATCCCTGCTGACTTCCTATATTTAGAACTGAGTATGTGGAAGGAGGCTGTTGTGGAACTCTGTCCTCTGTGCAAGACAGGCCACTGCTGTCCTGAAATCAGAACAGCTGAGATTACCAGTACACGACTTTCACAAGATTGGACCAACTAACATTCCTTTGTTGGGGGATGGGGAGGACTCATAAGAGGGCTCATGAGGCCCCTCCCCTCCCAGAGGGTATATGAACAGTTAACAATTGTTGGAGAGGGAGACTTCCTTGGTGGTATAGCCACCTGCAAGTTGCCCATGCTCCTGCAAGTAACATCAGCTAAACCCATTGGTTTACCAAGCTAGACTTAAGTGGAATTATTTCTTTGGTCTATTGCTGGTGCCCTATCTTCTGGAGTGAATAGACACTTCTTCACATTTTCCCAGGAAAAGACTCACAAGGTCAAAATGCCAGAATATGGATTACAACTTCTTTTTAGCTATAGCCTGACCAAGTCTCCAGTTGGACATCAATATGTGAATAATATATCAATGAAGTGCTAACCTATAGCCATCAAGCAAATGACCCATTTTCATGTTCAATTTTAAATACTGGTCATTACTGCCCTGTCTTCCTTTAAGTAGTTTACCTCAGGCTTTTATTTAATAGAAAAGCATATAAAGGGACATTCACCAAGTGATTTTCACAACACAAACAAGAGACTCTTTCATCACAGTTAACAATCCTCATTATGGTTATTACCAACTCATCCATGTCTAAGCTTTACAGTATACAAAACAATTAAGCAGTCATTATATTGCATTTAATCTCCACATCATTTATCAATCACACTATCCTCACCTTTTGGATAGCTCCATCTTTCCCCTTCTTAGGGGGCACTGAGCATCGGCCGGGGCTACACCCACGTTCTAGCCCTGTCTCAAGCTCAGCTTCCTGAGCAGCATCCCTTTCCACTAAATCACTTCTGTTTGACTTCTTTCTCTTTTTGTGTGTTTCTAGGTCAGAGCTCTTTGCTTCTTCCTCAAACTCTACAATATACGGATAAAGTTCATTCACCATGTGGAGAACCTGGCCAGGCTGCAGCTTCATCTCTTGGTCCTTCCCAATTATGACTGAGTCAATGCTGGAGGGATTGACCCCTACCTGTGGAATACCAAATTATAATATAATTATAATAGCAATAACACCATTAGAATGTAGCCACTGCTCTACTAACCACTTGCTCTGTTGGTCACCCTGCCTAATGTTCACTATGCTACTCTTATCACTTCCACCCAAGACAGAGGCAATAGCCTAAGAAAACCTTTGGGAATAAAACAGAAATCTAGGACACACACATACATACCTGCTTTACTTTGACATATCCTTTGTTACACTCTGCTTTCAACTGTACTGAAAGAGATTAGAAGACGTTAAATACAAACGCAGCCAAACAAAGCACTGTTTTCCCTAAAGGGCAATGTAGCCTGACTGCTGTAGGCAGCCTGACAGGTGAGCCTGATCTGCAGGTGACTGTGCCTCCAAATCCCAGTTTCCAACAGCTTCAAATCCTTCCATAAAATGCCCATCAGTGAGCTGGGTGTGGGGGCACAACCCCATAATCCCAGAACTTAGGGGGTAGAGACAGGAGAATCAGGAGTTCAAGGCCAACTTTGGCTGCATAGACAGTGTGAAGCTAGTCTGGATGACATGGACCCCTACTCACTCAAAACACAATTTCCATCAGTGTAATGGACTTCCTTAGCTACTGTTAATATCCTGGCTGAAAAACCAAGAGACAGTTTCAATGACTCTCTATCAATTTCCCTATGCCAGAACTGCTGGCCTGCTCAGGATCACACACACACCAAAAAAACTATCAAGAATAGGAGATAGAGCTAAGTGGTGAAGAGCTTGTCTAGCCAGCACAAGGCCCTGTACAAGTGTGTAGGTGTGTTGTGTGTGTGTGTGTGTGTTGGGGGAGTGGGCACTACCATTTGTCTTTAGCAGACAAAGTGAAAAAATAAACGTTCTTAGAAAACAGAAGTTCAAGCTAGCCTGGGGAATGGAAAGAATGTTCCAGACAGAGAGCTGCAGGAATGAACAGTATGCATATGCTTGAGAAAGAGTAAGTTCACTTATCACATTCAGATAAGTGAACAAGGCACCTGGGGCCAAGACAGGAAACACGAAGAGACACCACAGCTGCTCAGAGGGAGGCCAGGCAGAAGGCTGGCTAACTCCCGAATCCCTGCAATTGCTGCTGTGTGGAGGACAACAGACAGAAGCAGCAACTATTTATATCTTGGACCTAGTCAGCTCAAACACTTCAGCTCTACTTGGACTAACATAGGAAAATTCATAGTCAGTGCTACAGACTTAAACTATAAATCCAGAACTCTTGGGGTCCTGGAGTCACACTGTAGGCAGTGGTGATCATACCTACAGTTTGCAGGGAAAAAAAAGTATGTGGCAAGGCTTTCTCCTTAAACCATATGAAAGACAAGAGCTGTTGTCATAGCAATCTACCCTCTATGTGAGTAGTATGTAAAGGTTGACACCACCCCACTGCTTCTCAGACACGGCTATAGCTTGGAGATTCCAGAGTTTGTCCTGCTGGCCAATGCATGACTCCTAGGCAAAGAAGGATACAGGACTCAATTCCGCCATCCCATGGTAAAAGAATGGGATACTTGCTTGTAGCAGGAGGCCTCCAAAGATGGAGTGGACTCAGAGCCCTGGGATTCAGCGAGAATTCACTTCACTTCTTGGTCTGCAAGTAGCCCGCAAAAGGAGTCCGCTCAGCCTCTGTACCCTGCTCACGAGCCCCAGTGACTGCTGACAGACTGGTGGTGCGTACCAATCAGAAAACGATACGCTGACTAAAGGGACTTGGGGGTGGAGAAAAGGGAAATATAAGGCCTGCCCCCTCCTGCATTAAACGAGCCTGCAGCACCTCACCTAGTGCTTGCTTCTACCTGACTCCCGGTGTCTGTGTCGTGGCTCCGCACCTCTTGCCCCCCCAGTAGGCTGGGGACCCATCCAGGTCAGGGTCTTCACAGCTGGCCTGAGGAGAACCTGCAACTCTTGCTCCCATCCCTCAACCTTGTGAAGACAGAATCAGGAACAAACAAGGCCCTAGTGTTAGCTAGAAGAGCTCAATTTATGAACTGTTTTGGGACTACGATAGGTTTTCCAAGCAAGAACACTCAGGAAATGTGTCTCTGGCTATCTCTATCATCCAGAACCAAATATGGTGATCTCCACATTCCTATGACCAGTTACCTTGCCGTCGGGAACATTTCTTATCAGTGATCTTGGTCTCTGGACTACGCCCAATCACAACTGCCTCCAAATGGGGAAGTCTGATTCTCTGGTGTCGGCTGTCCTGTCTCACCAACCAGCACACCCGCATCATCACTCTTGAGAAAAAAAAAAGGAGACAGAATCACTGAAAAACAAATCCTCCCAGCCACACCCCAGCCTCACCATACCCGTGACTTGAAGCTGTTTGTCCAGGCAGGTGACTTCACCTTCCTAGTCTCAACTTCCTCACCTATAAAGCTGTGATAATTACAGGACTCAAGAGGCTGCTGTAGAGTAATCAGATAATGGAGGCAAATATTTACCTCTGCCCAAATCATGCTAAGCATTCAAATATTTGTTGCACATTTATTTATATATTGTGCTGGGCATTAGGCTACCTGCAGGTCTCCCAGATGTGAGTAAAGCATTGTCCCTGTAGCTTGAGGAGCTTAGGGTGAGGTATATGAGCAGACTGGTTATGACAATATGCTATAACAAGCACTCTGAGATAGCAGCAACCAAACATGGCACTAGCCCATCAAGGACTGATTCTTGAGAGCATTGAAAAGGGTTTCATGAAGGACTATTTATGAAGGGTTCAGGGGTAGGAAAGACTTTGCTTGTCAGAGAACTAAGAACATGAGACTGAAGATGTTCCTCAGATCTTAGGTACCCTTTGTGTTAGGTTTCTCTTTCCTTGAACCTCACACATGCTAGGAAATGCTCTACCACGGAGCTACATCCCTAGGCCTAGGTTCCCTTTCCTTTTCTTTTTTCAATTTTTAGTTGTGTGTTTGTGTGTGCATGTGCCCATGTGCGCTGGTCTATGTACACCACCTGTCATATACACAATACCCTCAGAGGCCAGAACTAGAACTGGTATTATAGGCAATTGTGAACTGCCCAACATGGTGCTGGGATCCAAACCTGGGTCCTAAGAGTAACATATGTTCTTAACCATCTCTCCAGGCCCTCCTTTTCTTAAAATAATATTGTTGTTAGAACAAACTTTACTACCATCTGTCATAATATGCAAATCAACTATTTTTAAAGTGTGAAAATGGTACCTCTGTGCAATATACAACCTGCACAAAAGTGAACATACTGCTGTTATTTAAAAAGAAAAAAAATATCTGTGGCCACATAGAGTATCAGAAGAGAAAGAAAGAAGGCAGAAGTAATATAAGGCTTAAACAAAGGTAAAACCAAAATGGAAAGAGGAGGAATAATCTAGCTTTTTCTCAAGATATTAGGAAAATGATGAGGCTTAAGGGACAATATGGCAGTCCCCTTATCTACAGTCACCTTCTGTGGTTTCAGATACCTGCAGTCAACTGTAGTCTAAATGTATTAAACAGAAAATCCACCCCCCCAAAAAAAATTCATAAGATTTTGTTGTTGTTGGGGTTTTGTTTTTGTTTTGAGACAGGGTCTCACTGTAGCCATGGTAGACATGGAACTCAATCTGCAGCTAAAAATGATCTTGAACTTTGCTGGTCCTCCCACCTCCACCTACTAATTTCTGGGATTAAAGTGCTATGACACCTGGGTAATTCATAGTTTTAAATAGATTTTGTCACAGTATAAAGGTATAATGTTTTATTATCAATTGTTGCTAATTGCCTCATGTGCCTAATTTAGAGTATCAAAAGTGTGTGTGTGTGTGTGTGTGTGTGTGTGTGTGTGTGTATTCAGTAAAGAGATGAAAATCAATAGGGAATAATGAACATCAAGGCCTCAGGAGATGGGCTTCTTGAGTTCAAATCCTGATTCCGCCACCTATTCACTGTGTGACCTAAGGCAAATTATTAAAATAGTATCCTAAATTGGGCGTGGTGGTACACGCCTTTAATCCCAGTACTTGGGATGTAGAGAGAGGTGGATCTCTGTGAGTTCAAGGCCAGCCTGGTCTACATAGTGAGGCCAGCTGGGGCTACAGGGAGACCCTGTCTCAAAAAGATCAAAAACAAAACAATAAAACAGTATCCTTACTCCTGTTAATACTGAAGTAGGATTAAAACAGGAGCAGCAGAAATGCAATTTTTTTTTCAGTGTACTAAAATTACTTTATTACAGTTGATCTTTTAAACATTTCCTTTGCTATGATACAAAGGATACTTACAAACAAAATATTACATATGACCTGTTTTCGCTCTTATGTTCTTACAACTTGGTAACAGTTTTAAATGCACAATCTATACAATTAATACAGGCTATATATGAACTATAAGGTATGCTGAAACAGAAGAATATTGACAATATACTGTACAATAAGTCTTACCAGTTAGTGCTATGGACCATTGCTATCAAAAGAAAAATGCACGTCACCTTTACCAGCTGGTGCTGACAGTGAGGGAGAGGCTTCTTTCTCATTACAACCCTTGGTGAGCCTCCACTGTGGGCATGTTTGGTCTAAAAATTGAAAGGACTGGGTTTACCTAACAATTAGTCACTGTTAAAGCATTAGAACACTATACTTTCAATATGATAATCTCTTGCCCCCTCCAAAAAAAAATCCGCCCCAATTTTAAAAGACCACAAGTCCTTTGTCCACTATGAAAACCCTACAGGCCCAAGGGCTTTAGAAGATAAGGCTGCCAAAAAACGAGGCAAGAAACCAAGCCAAAATCTAGGTCTTGTGAAATCATTTTTCCCCTTCACCAAAATGAATTCAAAATGTACAAATTCATTGATGAACCTCAATGATAACTATCAGTTAGCTGATAACCCTCATTTTATCTGGACCCGACTTGTGGGAATAACTGAAATAGACTGTGGGTAATATTGCCATGTTTGGAACAGAACATCCTGATATTTAAAATGTTCCCTTCAGCCACCAAAGCTGGACCTGGGCTATGACAGGTGTGCATTCATCTCTCAATGGTCTATTCAGAAATGATAAGGTTACAACTTTTTTTTTTATTAATAAAAAAGCAATTGACTGAAGCATTTTTTTTTTTCAGGTAAATAGCAAAAATAAAAACCAACCCTGGCATTTGCATAAATAATGCAAACGGAGTGCTGTAAGAGGTTAGGAGAAAATGAAAGTGAAAGAAATGCAGTTTTTAAAAAAATCAATCAAAAGCTATGACAATGCAACCAAAGTAAAAGGGCACAAATCTGTATTGTCTCCCCGAAATGAACAATTCTGTAATCCCAGCACTCAAGGAAGCAGAGGTTACCGAAAGTTCAAAGCCAGCCTAATATACATTAGCATGATCCCCTCTCTAATAAGATATAAGATCCAAAAGTGATGGTATAAGCCTGAAATCTTAACACTAGGAGGTTGGGTCAAGAGGATCAGGAGTTTCAAGACAGCTGGCCCACTAAGAACTAGTCTCAAATTTAAAGCGGGGGGCAATATATGTCAAATCTTAAAAGTAACTCCCCACTGACTCCAAATACCCCTACTCTGAGCCACCACATCTGGACTGTATGAGAAAAGGCCTTGCTTCTGCCATTCCTCCGCGGCCTGTAGAGGACCTCAAGTTACTCTTGGAGAGTATTTCCAACAGAAACACTTTCCCGACAGGCTGAACCGCCTCCTGCTCTTTGCTTCTTTTCCGGGTGTTACTGCGGTCAAATAGGGACAGGTGTCCAGGCACCCCGGAATAAACGCGAAATGGGGTGAAGTCCAGAAACACACCCTCGGGAATCCGACGGAAGGACCAAGCTCGTCGGTTGAGACAGAAGCGCGTCACTCAAGGCCACCGCTTCCGGGCCCAAGCCCGGCCGAACACCCGGTTCCGCTTTCAACCGGGCAGGAAGAAAAAGCAGTCCGACCACCGCCTTACCTCAGAGGAGGGACCGCCCCCCCTTCACGCACGCAACTCCACCGCGCTTCGCCGCTTCCGGCTCCGTAAGATGGCGTCATGCAACGCCTGCCCAGCAACCGGTGACGGTAACAGTTTCTCTCCGAGGATTGGCTAAAAGGGTCTCTCCCTAAACGTGGTTCCTCAGTGGGGAATTTTCCCTCCTGCCAGAAGCCTTTGGTCTGTCCCTGTCCTTCATCCTTTGAATTGGGAGCGATTTCTACGCTATCCTGTCGTCTCTTGATACTCCCTTCTTAGGCTTGCTGCATTTTAAGGCCATCTTTCGGGGAAGAGAGGAGTAAGACATGGGCTCACCGTAGGCCAGGCTAGCCTTGGATTGGTGATAATCCTCCAGCCTTAGCCTCCCCAAGGACTACAGGCGTGAAACACTAAACTAGCCTTAAGACCTTTGTTTAAGCTGCGGAGAGGATTGCATTACCACCTTGCGGGGGGGGGGTCGTGGAGGTGCTGTTTTGTTGAGAAAGGGTCTCACTGGGTATCCCCAGCTGGCCTAGAGCTCGCCATGTCGACCATGCCAGGCTGCCCCTGATCCTCGAATGCTGAAAATAAGTGTGCCACCACACCAGGGGCACCACCCACTTTCTAAACTACAGTATACTTTCTCCCTTTAAGGAGAAGAAAAAACGGAAGGGGACAGGCAAAGGGAAACCTAAGATTTTTTTTTTTTTAATGATGTCTTCATTAAATTAACTTAGGGGAAATCAGAAAAGCAGGAGGTTGGGGTGACATGTGTACTAGTTTTTATGGCAATTCCAAGATGTTCCCTAAGAGACATTTATTACAAATTATTCAAAGGCATTTTGGCAGATGAAAGAATTCCTATCTCATGAGCCAAACCAGTGTGTAGACTCTTAAATGCATTAGAAACTGAACCTTGTTTCTTTCTCATTTCTTTTACTTTTTTGTTTGGTTGTTGTTTAAGGAGCCTAGACTGGCCTCAAACTCAAGATCCTCTTGCCTACTTCTCAAATGCTGGGATTATAGGCCTGTGCCACCTCAATCAGCTTATTGATCAAAGTGGGATATTTTTTCCTCCTGCGGAAAGGCAGACTGCTGATGGAGCTAACAAGACAGGATGGGAAGATGCTCTAGGAATCAAGGGAGAAAGATTCGCCTCTTTTTAGCAGAGATAAAGGTTTATATTAGGATCACACTAGGAAGGGAGAAAGCATTTCCAGGGCATAAGCCTCAAAGCTGAGAAATGTGGTTCACAACTGCTGAGGATAAAGAGGCAGCTTTGGTGACCTGATCAGTTTTGGTTTTCCCTCAGGATTAAGCCTCTTAGCCTAGGCTTCTACCCAGCTGGCCTTTGTGTATCTTACAGCTAAAAGTTGAATCGAATCATTTGTGCAAAACTGGGCAGTTTCCATACCCAGCTTATTAGGCCACAGCCATTGTCTATAGTGCAGTGACCAGAAAAGCAAGGTGGTTTGGAACAATGCATGTAAGGGCATGGCAGGCACTTAAGACATTTACTGATTTCACATTGTTATGGGACTAATAACCACAACTTTTCAACTCCTCAAGAGTTGGACAATGACTAGGTTTTTCCTTCCTAAAACTAGTGGAGTTTTAGTAGAATACTGGGTTCTACTTTCTGCTTCCATGAGTTTGACCATTCTAGAAATCTCATTAAGTGAAATGTTTATCTTTTTGTGACTGACTTGTTTAATTTGGGATAATGTCCTTTTTTTTTTTTTTTTTTTTTTTTTTGGCTTTTTGAGACAGGGTCTCCCTGTAGCCCCAGCTCTCCTGGAACTCACTATGTAGTTCAAGGCTGGCCTTCAACTCACAGAAATCCGCCTGCCTCTGCCTTCTGAGTGCTGGGATCAAAGGCGTGAGCCAACTTCCTTTTTGAGGCTAATGTTATTCTTGGTTTTTTTGTTTTTTGTTTTTTGTTTTCAGTTTTTTTGAGACAGGGTCAGGCTGGCCCTAAACTTGCTGTGTAACAGGATGACCTTGAACTCCTGATCTTCAGCCTCCCAAGTGCTGGGATTACAGGTGTGCACCATCATACTTGGCATGTATAGGTATCTTAATACATTTGTCCATGGATGGACATTTGGATTGCTCCTGCCTCTTGGCTATTGTGAATAATGCTTCTACTATGTTTGTGGATGTACAAAACATCCAAGATATGCTTTCAGTTACTGCGGGTATATACACAGAAGTGGAATTATTGGACCCTATGGTTATTTTGTGTATGTGTGTGTACATATGTGCAGGTGTACATGCACACCTTTTTATGTGTGTGTATAGGTCAGAGATGATGTTGAGGATCTTTAATCACTCTCCATCTTATTTTTTGAGGTGTTGTTTCTCTCTCACTGCACCTGGATCTTACCAATTAGGATAGATTAACTGGTCAGCAAGCTCCAGAGATCCTCCTGTCTTTGCCTCCCTGCACTGGGATTATAGCCACAAATTACCACCCTGAGTTTTTTTTTTTTTCTTTTTACTTTTTTTTTTTTAGACAGGGCTTTCCTGTAGCCCCATCTGGCCTGGAACTCCATATGTAGACCAGACTGGCCTCGAACTCACAGAGATCCCTCTGCTTCTGCTTCCCGAGTGCTGGGATTAAAAGTGTGTGCCACCAGGCCCTGAGCTTTAAACTCTCGGGAGGTAAAAGCACATGCCCAGCAAGCGTTAAGACCAGAATTCAGACTCCCCACAAAAAGCCTGGTGGGTGTGGCAGCCCACCTGTAATTCCAGTGAGCAGGAACAGAGACAGGATCTCCCAAAGCAAGCTGGCTACCTAGACTAGCTTTATCAGCAAGCTCTGGGTTCAGTGGAAAGACTTGCCCCAGTATATAAGGTGGAGAGCCATCAAGGAAGGCACCCAGCATCAACCTTAGGCCTTCACATATGCAAGCACATGCACATGCGCCCACACACATGTGAATACGAATACACACACACACAGAAACCTGGCAAGTCAGCCTGGGAACAGTATACTTTGATTTGCATTTTATGAAGATTGCTGTGGCTTCTGGGAAGAGGAATAAATTGGGAGGCAGGGCAAAATCAGAAGGGCTGAGAACAGTTACTGATTAGTGCAAAGGATGTTGGGAGCATGAACAAAGGGAGAGGAATGAACTGGCTTCATGGTAGCACCATTAGGACACGGTGTATTCTTCCCTGAAGACAGACCTGGTCAGAGGCCAAATCCTAAAAGTTGTTTAGCAGTGATATAACCAAAGCCTACTGAAATATAAATATAGTCACATGTTTCATATATGAAGACACTTCAGTAAGAACTCTGCATGCAGGCTTTCTGTGGCTCCAGAAATCTTCCCTGGCCACATGAAGTTTAGAAATGAGGGGATCGACGCCCCTCAGAGCAGTAGTGAAAATGTGAAGACATGGAAAACATTCCTCGCCCCGGATGAAACAACTTTTAAGCCTATAGCATACTGTCTCCCAGGGGCTCCCCAGCTGCTGACCACCTGGACATCCTGCACTGCTTCCTCCCCCCTCCCTGTCTCATTTATTTTCCTCCTGACACATCTTGGCATCATCTCTAAACTATCAACACTCAAATTCTCCCATTAGTATCTGCTTCAGGGAGAATCTAACCCAAGGCACTCCTTCTGACAAGTTTTCCTTTTTTTTTTTGCCCCCTCCCTGTAGCCTGGAATTTGCTATCTAGACCAGGCTGGCCTTGAACTCACAGAGATCTAACTGCCACTGCCTCTGCCTCCCAAGTGCTGGGATTAAAGGCATGTGCCACCACACCTGGCCTGACCAGTTTCTAATGATATCATTTTATTTTTTAGATAATAATGCCACTGATTCTCAGCTATTTTCTACCATGACATAAAGATAAAAATATAACATTTGCTGGGCAAGGTGGCGCACGCCTTTAATTCCAGCACTTGGGAGGCAGAGGCAGGTGGATCTTTGTGAGTTCAAGGCCAGCCTGGTCTACATAGTGAGTTCTAGGACAGCTGGGGCTACAGGGAGACCCTGTCTCAAAAATACAAAAAATATATATATAATATATATATATATATATATAAAACATTCATATGACACCCTGCAAGCTATGAGTTCACACCTGTAATGCCAACACTTGGGAACTACAGGTAGAAGGATCAGGAGTTTAAGGTCAGCCTAGGGTACATGAGACCCTGTCTTAAAAATTAAAGCAAACAACAATGAAAAAACTGGAACAAACTTAAGGGAACTTGGGGAGTCCTATGAGGAACTTGATGAAATTTTTTCATTGTATTTTTTTTCTTTGCCTCTCTTTTTTTCCTTTATAAATAAGATCCTTTTATTCCTTATTTATGACTGTTTTGCCTGCATCTTTTATGTAGGTTCATTCGTGTCATGCAATACCCATGGATATCAAAAAAGGGAGTCAGACCCCATGAAACTGGAGTTACTGGTTGTTAGCCACCAAGTGGGTGCTAGGAACCAAATCAAGGTCCTCTGCAAGAGAAGCCAGTGCTCTTAACCTTGGAGCCACCTCTCCAGCCCAAACAAGATTTTTTAAATTTCATGTGTATGAGTTTTTGTTTTGGATTTTGTTTTTTGGGTTTTGTTTTATTTGAAATAGGGTCTCCTATAGCCCCAGCTGGCCTGGAACTTACTGTGTACACCAGGTTCGTGTGGATCTCACAGAGAGCCACCTGCTTCTGCCTCTGCTTCCCAAGTGCTGGGATTAAAGGTGTGTGTCATCACAAACCAGACCACATATTTTGCCTGCATGTGTTTATGTGTAGCATGTGCATGCCTGGTGCCCACAGATGCCAGAAGAGGACTTTGGATCCCCTGGAACTGGAGTTACAATTATAAGCTGCCATGTGGGTGCTGGGAACCAAACCCAGGTCCTCTGCTATAGCAGCAAGTGCTCATAACTACTGAGAAATCTCTCCAACTGCTTCCCCCCATGCAAAGCATTAAAACTTTCATTTATTTTTATTTTATGTTTATGAGTATTTTGCTTGCAC